AAAAAAAAAAACATGATAATAGCACTAGAAATAGTTAATTTTACTTATAACATAAGTTTATAGATAAATAACTAGAGAAAATCATTAATTACTAGAAACAATCATGATATTAGAGGAGCAAATAGATCTAGAAAGCCGTCAATTAATTAAATTTAATATAATTTGCGTCAATTTGCCATGATACACATATGAAATATATTTTTTTATATATGTGGAGTTAGGTTTTAATTCGTGCATGTACTGTGGTAATTAATTAGGATATATTAAAGCGTTTGCATACTTTTTTTTAATCAACAAAAAGCATTTTCATAGTAATTAAAGCAAAATTAAATCCGCGAAGTCCAAATGGAGAATTCTAGATTGGATCGATCTGGATTGCAGAAATCTGTACTTTACTAGTGGGTTTGGTTAATCCAACAACTTGATAAACTAATCAATGTATCAAATTAATAATTAAGTTGGAGTGTGTACAAGTTACGGAAAACGCTGGATGATATCTGCTATTGCTTATACGATACTAGCTAGTATTGTTTTAGTTAGTTTAGAGAAATTAAAAATAATCAAAGAAAGATGGGTTTGAATAGCTAGCCAAACATTAATTCAAATTAATAACATCTCTTAAGAGACATCTTAGTGATTAAGAATTGAGATTTTCATATTAAATATAACAAATTTAAATTTTAAAATAGATGGTGAGAGGAATGTGGGAAGGTGATAACTATCTTCTGTTAAATAGTCCATTATCCGATACAAAAAGAAGGAAAAATAATAATTCAAAGAACAACAATTAAAATGGAGTCCTTAAATAATCTCCTATCCTAAAACCGAAGACTACATGTTAGAGGTAGTAGCAAAATTCAAAAATAACATTTTTATGTGTTACATAGCCATATTGATATTTTATGACGACGGGTGATACTTCAAGACTCTTTACATTTAATTATTTATACTTGTCATGAGTGCTAGTTATTTGTATTAGTAATATAGGACTTTTTTAGTGTTTTTATTTTTTATTATTTAATGATAAGGGTATAACTTGAACTATATATTTCTTGATCTTTTAAATAAAATTATGTTTTTTATTAAAAAAAATGGAACTTGTTTTATTTAGTAAAATAATTTAAATTCGAGAAGATGATATACATGGAGTAGTGTTAGTAGTAGCATAATTAGCTAGTGCATGCCAATAACTTCAATTTTTAATTTAGCTAGTGAATGGGATATATATAGGACACTTTCAATTCTCGAAGAGAATTAATTAAGTAGAATTTTTAGTGACTAAAGTGCGGCGAGCAATAATGGTTTGTTGGGCTGACGAAACTGGCAATTATTATACAAATTTTCCTAGTTAATTCCAAGCACTAAGGAAGCATGCACTTGATATAATTAATTTGTTACGTATAAAATTACATTTCAGAACAAGCACTTCCTATATATTTTAATTTTTAATTACGAAACAACATTCTTGCGACACTTTTTCCCAATGAAAACATTAGGCACCGCCCTGTTTTGATTTGATAATCATTTTTAAGTTTTGTTTGTAAAGCACCACAGCTTATATGTAATTCTATGGATTAATTTGACACAGTGTCCGGTGTTGCCTTATAGTTATAATTGTTAAAAATGTTGTATTATAATGTTATGAAAAATATTTTGGTGTTTAGTAATTATATTTTAAAATAATTATTTATTGTAAAATTATTCAATTAGATATATGATTATTTAAGGTTAAATTAATTATTAATTTAATATATAATGTATGAAAAATAATTTAA